AATCGCGTGCCAGCGTCTACACGGCGCTCGCGGGCCCCGACTGCCAGCCAGTTCAGGGCATCAGCCAGGCGCTGAAGCGAGGGGAGGTGTACTTCAACTCTGGGTCGAAGGAGGAGGAGGAGAAGGAGGAGGAGGGAGACATGGAGGGGGAGGATGCAGGAGGGACGTTTCTGGATGTTGTCGGCTCCGTTTGGACCTCCGCAGACTGTGAGCCTCTGAGCCTCTGGAGGAGGAGGAGGCAGGGGAAAAATAAGGGAGGGGGGAGGATCTGTGACCGACAGGTTTGTCCCATGTCGGGGGCTCCGTGCTCTACCTGGGAGGGTTCCGCAAGTCTCTCTGGGGACGTCTGGAGACCCGCGGCGCCTCAGAGCCCTCCGGAACCGGATGCCTCATGGAGGAGGGGGGAGGGGAGGAGAGGGGGGAGAGGTACTCCCCCCTTTGGGAGAGTCATACCAGGAGGAGGGGGATGCGGTCCTCATTTTGGCTCCCCTCCCCGTTCTCAACCTCCCTCCTCCCTCCTCCACCGGCATCATCCTCTCTTCTCCCTATTTCAATGTGGCCTCGGTGGGTTCCTCGGAGGCCCTCGGATCCCCCCTCGGGCTTTTCGTTGGGCACTGGTCGTAAATGCAGGCGCAGCTGGGGCCAAAAAGAGGGCTTCGCTTGATGATGTTCCATCCAACTTTAGCTTTGATCACCCGAAAGAATGTCGAACATGAAAAAAGTACCGATCTTCGAGGGTTTTTACGTGTCGGGCCCTGGGAGACACTCGCCCGACACTGTTTCGACACTGTTTCGACATTCTTTCGACACTCTTTCGACACTTGTCCGGGTGCTCGAAATTATTTCTGGGATGTGGTCTTCAAGTACGATGGGAGCAGCATAGGCTTCGCTCCTCAATTGCCCGTGGCGTCTCACCGCAGGATTGTGGCACTCACGGTCAGGAGTTTTGGCTGAGCCTTCCGCGCCGCTGGCTCTGGCTCGCCGCGCTTCGGCACGCCCCAGTGCCCGGGCAGCCATGCCCCGAGCACTTCCCCTGCGTCCCGCCCCCCCGTCGCGCAGCGACACGCCATCAGCCTGCACGGCCCCGCGGGTCGCAGGGACCGCCGCCGCGGCACGAGGAGCGACAGTTCCGACCGTGATGATGTTTTTGTTTGCGCCGCGCTGTGCAGAGAGGCTCCGTGCTCTCTCCTCCTCCCGGCCAGGGATCGACCTGACCAGAGTGTTGCATTGCTCGTCTTGTCCTCGTCCTCCCCCTCGCTTTTGCCTTCGGTCCGCGGCTGCTGCGAAGCGAAGCCGAAACGAAAGCGGTCCACGACGTCGTTGAGGTCGACCCTTGTCAGGAGGGGAAAAAAACACACAGACACACTATTCATCGGCGATCCCCAGAAAATATGGGAAAATATGGGAAGTAAAACCCAGAACAGATGGGAAAAGATGGGAGATATTTTTATTTGTGTGTGTATTTCTTTGTGTGTCCTTGGGGAGGAGGAGGAGGAGGAGGAGGAGGAGGAGGAGGAGGAGGAGGAGGATGAAAGGAGGGAGGAGGGGGATGAGGAGGATGGTTGTTTCCCTTCACTTTGCCCTCGGCCTCCCAGGGGAGGGAGCGCCTCCGGCGGCGGAGCCCGGGCTCTCCGCACGCGGCAGGGCCTCTCCGGAGCGCTCGCCGCCCGAGCTCGGCCTCGGTGCCACGGCGAGGAGCGCGGTCGGGCCGAAGGATCAGATCGAGGTCGGCTCGGGGAGGGCACTCCAGATTTCGTCATAAAAGGGAGGGGGTCTGGGCCCTCCAAGACGAGCCATTTCAGACCCCCCCCCCGTGGGAGAACCCTCCAAAACATCGTCCCCAGACCCCCCAGGCCCTCCAAGATAGCCCGGAAGAGACCCCCCCCGAAATGAGACCCCCTCCCTTTTATTACGAAATCTGGAGTACTCCGGGGCTCATTTCGATGCCGCCGATTCGATTCAGTTCACAGTTCCGATGGGTTCCGATTCCGATTCGATTCGATGTCGGACTCCGATCTGGGATCAGATTTCTCATTGGAGGCCTGCCAGCCTGCCGATGTCTGCCGATTGGACTTTTCCCGACTCGGCTGCCGATTTCCGCCGATCCGATTCATGCCGATCGCCGATCCGACTTGTCGATTCGATTCTGGGCTCTCCTACCCTAAGGTTCCTCGTGTCTGATCGATGCTCTTGTGCATCCTGGGGGAGGGCACCCTCGAATGTTCTGCAGTTTGGGCTGGCGGAGGGCCTCATGATCGTGAGGATTGTTCGTGTGTCCCAGGTCCAGCCGTACACGTGTGCAGGCGAGGGGGCGTGGGGCGGGAGGCTGCGTTGCGGCATCACGTACCGCCCCCCTCTCACCCCCTCATCTTCCTCCCCCTCCTCCTCCCTCCTCCTCCTCCTCCTCCTCCTCCTCCTCCTCCTCCTCCTCCTCCTCCCTGCTCCTCCCCCTTCCCCTCTTCCTCGTGCCCCCTTCCACCTCCCTCCTCCTCCTCATCCA